GTTTTATTGTTCGATTTCTCATTTTCTTCCAGCCTCCTCCCACATGTGACTTTAACGAGGTAATGGTCCGAGTCGATTTCAGCTCCTCTCATACTTTTTACCTTCTGAACGATATTCATATATTTACTTTCAATCATAACATGATCTATTTGATTCACCGTCCTTCCATCTGGGGAGACCCACGTACCTTTGTATATCTCTTTTCGTTTTAGTTGTGTGCTTCTCACCACCATGCTTTTCTCCATGGCAAATCCAATAAGTCTTTGACCATTATCATTTGTTACTTCGTGTTTAGGTACTATAGCAGTTACTGCAGTGTACAGAGGTTCTTTTCCCACTTTAGCATTACAATCACCCATTATTATTTTTACATCACGTTTAGGTAGGCGCTCGTATTCATCGTTTAGCTGCTCATAGTAAAGATCTTTTCTTCTTCTGACGGTGCATGAATATTGATTATACTCCAATTACTTTTCTTACTTTTAATTCGTATTGAACACATCCTATCAGAGATAGGATTAAAAGCTATCACTTTGTCCTTGATACATTCAGCTACTAAAAAACCAGTTCCAAGCATTCTATCTTTACCTCCACTTTTGAAGAGCACCATATCTTCTATATCAGTTATTTCCGATTATAATTGTTTTGTCTCTTGAAGAGCCATTAAATCTATTTTATACTTCCTTGCCTCATTAATTAGTTCTTTATCGCACCTTCATAAAAGGTTCCTCTGACATTTCATGTAACTAAATGTATCTTGTCTTTCTTCGGCTTTACCTTTGTATTCCTGTCTTGTTTTGTTTCGTTTTCATAGTTCGTAATCCTTTTCTTCGCATTGTTCGTCTTCATTTCTTTCCTTTTCATGCTGGTGCTTAGTTTTTTGCTTTGGTCTCTACCACCAACGTTTGGTTCATGCCATCCCAGCGCCATATTTCCTGATCGGAATATATTTTCTTATATCCTACTTTCACTTTTCTCCCTTCCTGTCTTAGTTCTTGCGCTTTCTGTCTGACATATTTCTGTACAATTCTATCCTTCTTTGACAGGTCATCATTGATATAAACTAGACATTTTCGGTTTCTTAATTTGCTTTTGTTTCGCATGACTTTCCTTTTGTCCTTTTTCAAGCTCAACCAGACAGACTTTTTCTCCCAGCTTCACAACCTTCTCTATTTGAACATCGACTGCTAATTCTACCTGCATAAAATTTTTTATTTCATGTTTTAAGAGTTTCTGGGACATTTGTATATATGTTCATGCCTTGTATAACTATATTTTTACGCCTTTTTCCATTTTCCAAACTTTCAAGCCGTTCTTCTATTTGAAAAACTACCTTTTTTAGTTTTGTGTTTTCCTCTCGCAATGTTACATTCTCTTATCGTAATTGTCTTATTTCTTCTCTATATTCCCTTTGTTCTCTATGAATTTCGCTGAGTTCTCTTGATTGTTCTTCTATCTTTATACTTACTCCTGTCATCATTTCCATAATTTTTTTTACATTTTCTTCCATTTTCTCCTTTTTGTTGATGGGAGATCTCTCTATTTTGCGACTTTTGGTGAACTCGTCTGTTGTGGTACCGTCGCTTTCGAAATTTAAATTCGAAAGCGATATTTGTACTTATCTTCACTGCTCATTAAAAATATTTTGTTTCACCGCGATAAAGGTTTCGCCCGTATCGTCTCCTCAAAAGCTTAACCCTCCTCAGTGTAACGTCTTAATTTATTTTCTTTATTTATGTTAATAATTGTATTAGCAGTATATACTATTTCGAACCTCCCTAGTTACTTCACTTCTCTGTCGAATTGGCAACACCGTTTCCAAAACAATTAAGGTTCAATCAAGTTCGACCCAATATTGATGACGTTTTTATTGCTTAAGTGTTTATTTTTACCTAGTATTTTCGCCAATTTCGAACACACTTTGAATGTTTTGATTATTTTTCACTATGCGCTAAGATTACTTACTTAACTTTCTACTGTTACTTTAGATATAATTGATTTACTTTGTACTTCGCGAAAAATCGGGTTTAATACAGGAGCAAATACAATTTAATATTTACACATTTAGCGCTGTGTTGCCAGTCTCAATGATGTGATATATTATGTATTATACTTCATTTCATGGATATTGTCCGATGGGTGAAATCATACTTATGGCAAATTTAGAGTGACATCTTTTTCAGATACCGGCATTTAAAATTCTAACGACTCTATCTGACATAAATATCACTATTTAAATGTACCTCGATTATGACTTCATTCATCGGACTAAATCCATGAAATGAACTATAGCAGTTTTTAACAAATGAGATGGTTGCGTTGTAAATGCAATTTACATACATGGTTGCGTTGTTAACTTTGGCTGGCTACATACATTAATGCTCATTTGCACCAATATCAGTTAAAATTTAACTGACAGTTTATACGGGATTATAATCGGTTACCTGCTACAACAATACCAAGAATATTAGGTAATAAATAGGGGTACGGAATTTTCGTTTATACGAAATAGATGCGAATTTCGGCGAAATTTTGAACATAAATGCGATAAATGCGAAATATGGATTTTTTGTTTATTTCCGCGAAATATCTGCAGGTGCTCAACTCACCCCTAAATAATTAGGTAGTTACGAGGGTATAGAAAGATTTTACAGAAAGTTTTCTATTGTAATTTTTGAAAGGATTGTTTACTGTTGTAACACGTGTTGAAACAGAAGGATCTTTCATTGTTCATCATTAAATAGATAAAGATAAGATAAGGAATTGATATTTTTCAATGTTGATTCTTTGAGAAATATAAATAAGCCGACTGTTGTTGATAAAAGTCGGCTAATTCTTATTTTCTAAACATATAAATTAGTCAACCAGGACAATCAATGCTCATTCCGTCAATTTTTACTGAGTGAGAACATAGTCTATCAAAAAAGTTTTCATAGTGAAATATAGTTACTTAAAGTATCTCCTAAAATGGGACGCCCTAAAACAATTTTGAGTGATCGAGTCAAAGAATTTGCAACCGATGGCCTATATCTGTGTGACACAAATATTGTGATGTGTAAGTATTGTAATACTCGTTTGGAAGGTGATAAAAAGGACACACTGCAGAAACATGTAAAGTCGACTAACCACATTAACAAGAAAAAATCTATAGCATCTACTTCAGGAACTAAGCGACAAATGTCAATTGCTAGTGACTTTGAGAGACAGAAACGAGCAAAAGAAGAAAATGATACTTTTGTGGAGGATACAGTTAGTATGTGTCTCAAAGCCAACATTCCACTTCATAAATTGGATCATCCAGCTGTGCGTGAATATATTGCTAGATATGTGCCGGGGTCGGGTGCTCTTCCATGTGCGGACACTTTAAGGAGAAAGGTAGTGCCTCGGTGTGGGCTGTCTGAAAAAGCCAATACAAAGCAACAGCTGAAAGACAAGCCCATTGTAATAGTAGCAGACGAAACCTCGGATGGACAAGGAAGATGTGTTTTTGCTATTCTCTTCAGAACTATAGATTCTGTACTACATCAAGAATGTTTTTTAGCAAGTGTTAACTTCCCTGATACTGCCAATGCATCAACGTGTTCACAGGCAATTATAGATACATTAAAAGACTTTGAAATTGGTTATTCACAAGTTAAAGGCCTGGTATCAGATTCCGCAAGATACATGTCTGCTTGCTTTAACCTATTAAAAATTCTAATAGGGCCACATATCTTACATTACCAGTGTTGGGCTCATAAAGTTAATCTTGTTGGTGATGTGTTTGTAGGAGAGTTCAAGGAGTTAAACATGTTTACAGCAAAAGTCAAGTCAGCCTTTTGTCTTTCAAGAAAAATGAAGAACTCTTACTTGAATTATTTGAAAGAAAACGTGCCCAATCTCCCAGCAAAACTTTATCCAGCACCAGTTGTAATTAGATGGAACTCTTGGTTCTCAGCAGTGTCGTATCTAAGTGAATATCTTAATCACTTACTCAATTTTTTTGATGTGTGGGAGAATGAAAATTCCAGTATTAAAATTCTCAAAGACAATTACGCCGATGAAACTTTCAGGCGTAAACTAGAAATTCAAATGACCTTCACCACCGAGTTCTGTCCAAAATTAATGAAATTAATAGACGATTTGGAAGGAGCCAGTTATCCATTCGCCCATCTTTTATGAACAAATTAGAGGGCTTAAAATCGTCACTTGAACACCATCGCCAAGGTTATTTTGGTGTAAAAACATCTCGATTGCTCACTGAAAACGAAGAAATTGACGCTACACTGAAGAAAATGCTTATGAAAGCAAACGACAAAGCCTTTAATAAACTAACTCTCCATATGACTTTAAAAGACACAAACGAGGTTTTCTTACACATTGGACAGTTATTTAACCCATGTATAGCTGCAAGTTTTACTGTGAACCCGAGTGTACTCTCAGAAAGCTTTGCTAAAATTCCTTTTTTTAGAACAATGACACAATTGGAGTACATAGATGGATATACTCACTTTCACAGATTAATCCTTCAATCGATACAAAGGAACGAAGATCCCAATTTGAAGGATATTTTGCTTGCTACACAATGCAGTTTTCCGTCATTTGCTAAAGCAGCATTACAGAGCATCTGGAGTCCAACGAACAGCGTAGATGCAGAACGATTCTTCAGCATATATAATATTGTAGTGACAGATCGAAGAACAGCTCTTAAAGAGTCAAATGTCGAAATTACAACGATGTTAGCTTTTAATTAATGTTTTTTGTTGTTTACTCGTAGTTAAAAATAAATGCGAAATTTTGTAATTATAAAAAAAGTAAATGCGAAATTCATGTTTTTTATTTGCGAAAATTCCATACCTCTAGTAATAAACCTATTGGTCATACTATTATCTACGGTTAGATAAACATTATTTAAAATCCGCAATTGGAAATCAATTGAGGTTTATGCAGTTTTTTGCATAAAATATGCAATATGCTGTTCATTGACGACCATATTTTATTTATTGGTGTATTTGTTTTAGGTCTAAAGAAACCGAATAAATTGGAAATTATAGAAACAGTACCTGAATGTTCAAGTAATGAAGAACGCGAAGTGAGTTGGCACGCTGAAGAAAAATCCTACCAATGTGAAATTTGTTCAAAAGCTTTCTCTCGCGAGAATGATTTAAATAGTCATGCGCGACTGCACACCGATGAAAACCTTTACAAATGTGAAATTTGTAAGAAGCAATTTAGTCAAGCACGTGGACTGAAACTTCATTTGAGAACTCACAAGGGAGAAAATCCGTTTGTATGTAAAATTTGTTCCAAACCCTTCTCTCTCAAATGTAATTTAAATACACATATGCGACTGCATACTGGAAAAAGATCGTACAAATGTCAAGTTTGTTTTAAGGCATTTACTCATCCAGCTAATTTGAAAATTCATTTGAGAATTCACACGGGAGAACAACCTTTTTTGTGTAATATTTGTTTTAAACCGTTCTCCTTTAAGGGTAGTTTAAGCAGACATATGCACCTCCATACTGCGAAACCTTTCTTATGTAAGATTTGTTCTAAGTCCTTTTCTCGTAAACGTTATCTGGATGTACATGTACGACAACATACTAGGGCCCCAAAAAAACCTAACAAATGTGAAATTTGTTTTAAACAATTTCCCTATGCAAGTGTTTTGAAAACCCATTTGGGAAAACATACAGGAGAAAAACCTTTTAAATGTAAGATTTGTCTTAAACAATTCACACGAGCTTATATTTTGAAACTCCATTTAAGGAGGCATATGGTTAAATACCCGTTTGAATGTAAGGTTTGTCTTAAACCGTTCCCTTCCAAAGGTTATTTGAATACACACATGCGACTGCATACTGGAGAAGGTCTCTACAATTGTGAAATTTGTTTGAAGCAATTTACCTACGCCAGTATTTTGAAACTCCATTTGCGAACACACACGGGAGAAAAACCTTTCTTATGTAACATTTGTTCCAAACAGTTCTCTGTCAAATATAATTTGACTAAACATATGCTAGTGCATACTGGAAAAAAGTCATTCAAATGTGAACTTTGTTTTAAGCAATTCAATCAAGCATATACTCTAAAAAACCATCTCAGGTTGCACACCGGAGAAAAACCTTTTGTATGCAAGATTTGTCACAAACAGTTCTCTTCCAGACCTTATCTCAACACACATATACGACTACATACTGGGGAAGGTCTATACAATTGTGAAATTTGTTTAAAGCAGCTTAGCCGCAAAAGTGCTTTGAAAATCCATTTGAAAACACATACGGGCGAAAAACCTTTCTCATGTAACATTTGTTCTAAATCATTCCTCCAAAAATCTTATTTAAGTACACATATGCAAGTGCACTCTGAAAAAATACCTTACCAATGTGCAAGTTGTTCAAAACAATTTACCCGTAAAAATACTTTAAAAATCCATTTGAAAACACACACGGGCGAAAAACCTTTCTCATGTAACATTTGTTCTAAATCATTCTTCCAAAAATGTAATTTAAGTACACATATGCAAGTGCACTTTGAAAAAATACCTTACCAATGTGCAATTTGTTCAAAACAATTTCCCCGTAAAAATACTTTAAAAATCCATTTGAAAACACACACGGCAGAAAACCGTTTCGTATGTAACGTTTGTTCTAAATCGTTCCCTCAAAAATCTCGTTTATATAGGCATATGCAAGTGCACACAGAGGAAACATCTTACAAATGTGAGATTTGTTTAAAACAATTTAAGCGTAAAAGAGCTTTGAAAATCCATTTGAAAACACACACAGAAGAAAAATCTTTTATATGAAGAGGTTGGAGCAGAAAGGGTATAAGTACGTCCAAGTTCATCATCATCATAATGCAACATCTTCTGTCTACTGCTGGACATAGGTCTTTCCCATTTTTCGCCACTCTTCACGGTTCTGTGCTTCTTGTTACCATTTCTTCGATATTCGTCTAATGTCGTCCATCCAGCGTGTTGGTGCTCGTCCTCTGCTGCGTTTGTCTTCTCGTGGGCGTCAGTCAATTAGTTTTCTGGTCCATCTTATGTCTTTCAGTCTCGCTATGTGACCTGCCCAATTCCATTTCAGCTTGGCTATACGTTCGACGACATCACTGATACCTGTTCTTTTGATCCGAGAATTGATCTTTCCATGCGCCTTTGTGTCACTTGCATTTTTAGTGCTGTTGTTTTTGTGAGCGTGAGAGTTTCTAGGGGAAGGACGTCGAAGATGACGCACCTAAGCAAAATACATTTTATTTAAGGGTAAAAAATATTTAAGCTAACTTTGAATGCTACGAGCCTGTAATTTGGACATTTCTATAACCAATTTCTAGGATTATTTTTAAATTCAATAAAAGGAAGTATTTTTTATGCGGCTTTTTTAAAAACGCTTTTGCGCCATCTTACCTTCCACCGAGAGAAAGATGACGCACAGTGATGGTGAAGATGGCGCATGTAGGTATCTATATTAAAAGCACAAGTGATATGAAAAGAAAATTTATTTTTTAATACTGAAAGTAAGAAAATGTAAACAAAGCTTTTTTAACATATTAACAAAAGTCACAAATGTAGTTTTCGGGACTTTTGGCTCTACTGCATTCTTTATGCACCCATTGTCCACAACTTGTGCATCTGAACCATGTTTCCGTCTTTTTGCCGAAGTTCTGAACCATGTTTCCGTCAGTAATTATAAATATCCAGTGAAATATGGCTCGAGTGATTATCTAATACTAACAGCACGGGATTATCTGGACTAGACAGGACTTTTTTTTGGAAATGCTTCAGCCATAATAAAAACATAGACGTATTACTCCATCCATTATCCGTGCAGTTGTAAATCGCACCGATTGATCCATTTTTCTGAAGATGTGGGCTCATCCTCTTCCTGGGAAATATAAATAATGGAGGTATGTAGTTACCGGAGGCACTGAACGCCATTATTACCGTGATATTCTTCCCTCGTTCCCACGAAGAAATGATTCCAAACTGCTTTACTCCTTTGGGTCCAAGTCTTTGACATGATTCTTTAGGAACCGTAGATATACCGGTTTCATCAACATTGTAAATGCGATCTGGCAGAAATTTATATTTTTCTTGCACTGTTTCCAAATTTTTAAAAAAGCGGTCTACTTCTATTTCATTGAAGGCTGTTATTCTATTAATGCTTGTAGCTTCTGGCTTTCTCAAGGAAATTTGAGGATTTCGTTTTATAAATCCTAGATACCAGTCTTTTCCAGCCATTTGTTTATTCTTATTAAAATTGTGTTTAATTTCATTGCGTTCTGCATAAGCAAATGCCATGGTTCTCAGCTCTATGTAAGTGATACCAAAAAATAAATTGGCCAGCTTGAGAACATGATCTAGTATCTCCTTTTCATGATGTGCCGAAAATAATGGGGCTCTACCAAGAGACTCTGATTTGACTTCCTTTAATAAATTTTTAACCTTAAGTTTTCTCCTCAATGTAGCTTCTGGTATTGAAAATACCCTTGCCACTTCCCGAATTTTACGACCATCTCTACAAATTGCATTCAATGCTGCATTAAGAGCTGCTGCAGAAAATGATCCTCTCTGTGTTTTTCGTATATATTTTCCCATTTCTAAAAAAGAAAAAGATGCCTCAAGATGTAAAATAGACACTAAATAATAAATATTCTATACTCCATTGTTATTTAAGGTAATGAACTGAAAAGGCAAAGATGACGCACTATAACAGCAAAGATGACGCAGTCTGCGTCAACTTAGCCTGTTCAGCATAACCTACAAAAAATGGTTATCAAAATTATCCATCATCAAATATTTAACAGATAAATCCTCGCTAACTGAAAATAAATATCACCTACTTACATTTTTAAACAACTTACCATTAATATTCGCAGTGTCAAAAATAACAAGAAATCAACGTGTATCGCGTTACCCTGCCTCACAGATACTAAACAGTACGAAAGCTGACCGATGAAGTTTTTAAAGTAATAGTAGTTTCTAAAGGAGGGCGCCACGGGTATAAAAACTGAATTTAGTGAAGTACTTGATAAAATACAGAGGTGCGTCATCTTAGACGCTGCGTCATCTTCCCCGTCATTCCCCTACTACGTGCATCATAATAGGAAGAACACATGGGTCAAATGTCTTCCGTTTCATAGCTATCGGGATGTTGCTCTTACTCTTAAAGATGTCTCTTAGAGAACCATACGCTGCCCAAGCAAGTGTTATTCGTCGTTGAAATTCGCAGGTCTGGTTGTCCTTGCCTATTCTGATTTCATGACCAAGATATATGTACTTTTCTGTTAATTCTACCACTTGATTTTGGATGATTAGGTGTTTCGCTGGGAACTAAATTTGTCATAAATTTGGTCTTACTGATGTTGATTTTTAGACCTATTGTTGAAGATACGTTTTCTAATTCTTGTAGCATTTGTTGTGCTTCACCCAGATCTTCGGTATTAAGTACTATAACGTCGGCAAAACGGACTGTCGGTAAAAGATGATTTTTCCGGATTTAGGTGAGAGAGTGTCTGGCTTGATATGTATTTCTCTGGTGGTATTATGTAGTTTTACACGCGTTGTGGCGTTTTGGTATAATGTTTGTATTAACTTTGTAAGCCGGTAATCTATTCTACTATTGTTCAGAGCAGTTATAATGCTGTCTAATTCCACAGTGTCGAAGGCTCTGTTTTTACTGTTTGTAGGTGATCGTTTATTTCGAATTTTGAGCGGAAGTCAGCTTGTTCTCGGGGCTGGTAGAAATCTAACTTTTTCTCTAGTCTTGTCGTAATTATTCGGGTAAACATTTTATAGATGTGGTTCAATAAGCTGGTTAGTCTATAGTTTTCTAGGTGCGCCTTGTCTCCTTTCTTGTGTAGTAACATTGTTACTGCATTGTTATATGTTTTTGGTATGCAACAATCTCTTAGACAAAGGTTAAACAACATTTTTATTTGGTTGAGAAGGGAACGTCCGCCCATCTTTATAGCTTCTATTACGACTCCATCTTCTCCTGGCGCTTTGTTGTTTTTCATCTTTATCATTGCGTCCTGGATTTCGCTTAGTGTGATCTATGGCATGAGCTCTGAACCCTGGTTGATAATTTTGCGTGATGCGGCGGCACTTTTCCTGAAAAACGAACATTATACCGAATGGCAAAAGAAGGGATAGAGAGAAATGATGAGAAGGAACAGGAATCCGCGAGCGATAACGAAAATTTTAAAGATGATAATTCCGACGTCGCTTGCTTGTATTGGAATGGCGTGTATTCCCTCTTAAGTCGAAATAATGCTGGATTTAATGTCAGGAGTGCCAATCCTGGTGTCAATCTGAATGCGCTGGGGTCGATAAAAAATGTAAGATATTTTATTGTGATTTATGTTCTTAATTGTTTTAATGCGTGTTACTTTTTTATTTGTTGTATTATTGTTCTCTTTGAATAAAATGCGAAAATTCCACTAAAACATATTTTTTTTTCTATTATACTATGCAGCCATGCCATCCATCGTAGGTAACGAATGTGCCTATGATGCCACACTTGACATTTCTGATATTTCAATTTTTTAATATAAAAATCCACATTTCCTTTGACCTTTAAATGTCCAGCTTAATTGGTACATTCAACTGAACTAAAAAAAAATTGTAACAAATATGATCATGTTTTTAATAAAAAAACACGAGAGGTGAAGTTAGGTATTCCATCATAGGCATACTTCCCCTATTAGAGCCTGTTCTCCCTTGGAACTTTTGATAAAGTTGTTTCCAAAGTCTGCTGCTAGTTGTTTTACGTTAACCCGGCGCCAGTGTGGTAGACTAAAATGTAAAAACCTGTGTGGTGGGGTATCAGATACCCCAAAGTTAAAAAAAATTAAATAAAAATACCACATTTTTAGAAAATTGTGATTTATATTTCAACATATATAACAAACTTAAATCAAAAGGAACTAGTGTTTAGAAACAAATTGCAAACTAAATACTTAAATATTCCAAACAAGTTTCATTTTACAGCATAAAAAAACGTTACACTCATTTTTTTTATTATAAAAAAAGATCAGATAACTAGTAAAAATAAATAAATGTTTGGAAAAACCATAACATATAGAATACATTTTAATTTTTTTTAGCTAAATACCAAGAATCACAATGCACCACTGAATGCTCTAAACATATAGCCTTTTTTACAAATCACACAATTATAAAAGGTCTTTCTGTCATTTTTTTCTCGGGCACACATTACATCTTTTGGCTGCTTTCATTCGTTTACCTGATTGCACTTCATCATTTTGTTACAGTTCCTTTAGGATCGACTTGTAAATTTCGCGGAAGCCTTAAGTTGGTAGACCGAATTTGTTTGTATTCTGTTAGTAACTGTATTGCTAATAATTTCAAAAATTTCCTTCGTTTTGACTGAAAATCGCCAGTATTTTGTTGATAAATTACTCTAGCATTTATACCTGCACAGTTGAGTATCGTATAAAAAATTGTAAGGGGCCACCTTTTGCTATTACGTGAAACATCGTATGAAGCTGACAATTCATGGTCCTGGTTTCTTACTTTCGCCAGTATTGTCGTCAATATCAGGAGTGTGGTGTAAAGTTGACATTAGAAAAACTACTTTTCGTTTTGTTGGTACATGTAAAACTAACGTTATACTCTCTTGAAATCCGAATTTTGAGGAATATACTGGCCTGTTCCTAGATGTTATAAAACTTTCATGTATTTGGCTTTTGTTTTTTCTTACAGTTCCAGTAGATATCAGTTGATGATTTTTTAAAAGCTTCAGCATCAGCTCATAACTTGTGAACCAATTATCGAATGTCACATTTAGTTTGGTTCCGGATATCGGAGTTACAAGTCGGGGTTGAGTTTACCGAAAGTACAAGCTGAATATAGCCGCAAATGTCAAAAATATTTCGGCTTGGCAGTGTTGGCATGTTTTTATAATGTATATTTGTCTGCTATAAATATAAAGAGATAAAGCTTTTAAAAAGTACATATTGATTATACTATTTTATGAATTCTGCAAGTTTTAATTTATATGAAGCAATAACGAGTAGATATTTGTCTCTTTCGAGATTAATTACAAACATCTGTTGTAATCTGGCAACTGCTGATTTGACAATTGCCAAATCTATTCCCTAGTCTATTAAAAGGTAATTGCTAAAAAAATTTCTGATAATTAACTGCAATTAATCTCAACAGAAACAAATATTTACTCATTGTGGTTTTATATAAATAAAAATTGCAGAATTTATAATATAATATAAACAAAATGTACTTTTCTAAAGCTTTATCTTTTTATATTTGAAGCATATAGGATATACACTATAAAAACATGTCAACACTGCTATATCGAAATGTTTTGTTCCATGTTTGACATTTGCGGCTATCATCAGCTTGTACTTTCGGTAAACTCAACCCAAGTCGGAGAACTACGTCGTTATTGCTCAATTGGAAAGGTCCCGCACGTATAGTTCTAAATTCAAAACATAATATGATTTTGCATCAACGAGAGCGAATATCTTTAATCCGTATCGTGCATGCTTTTTCGGCATATACTAGCGAAAAACACATCGGCCTCTAAATGCTTCCAGCTTTTCATCAATAGTAAGGTATTCGCTTGGCGTATAGACGTCTTGTCTATTTTGCACAAATTTTTCGAAAATTGCTCTAATTGAAGTCATTTTATCGAGTTTTTCTTTCTTCTCGATTTTTTGTATTGTCAAAACGTAGATAAGACTGTAAAAAGATAAATCGTTGTAAAGACATCGTCTCTCTAAATAAGCTTATTCCGGTTCCATCGGTAGACCAAAGATATTCTAAATTAATCCGATCAGACTTTAACACTCCAGCCAAGTACAATAATTCAAACAATGCTCCTATTTCAGTTGCATTGGTTTCGCGAACTGCATACTGATGGTTTTCATCGTAGCAAGTAGACTTTCTTCTTATTTTTATATTAGTCCAAGTTACATCATCCATCGATCGGATGGCCAAGCGAGCTGGGCGGCTGGCTTCTCCTTCGCTTCAATGCGAGAGATGTCAGTTCAATCCCCAGCTCGGTGTACAGAAAACAAAAAGGCTAACGCAGCAGTTTAAAATTCTAAATGAATCAGTAGTACGGCAAGAGATAAGGGCTTGTGGTTCGGTGATACTCCTCCATAGATCCCTACCGGAAGGGCGTGTGCCGCCTAAATACCGCGTATATATACATCATCCATCATACTAGGAGTAAAAAGTAAATTGAAACATTCCACGAGAGTTTTCGCCATTTTTGCATTTCGTTTTACACCTGGTAAATGAGTAATGATATTTACTGAGCGTGTTCTTACATTTATAGGAAAGTATGTTGAAGACCATTTAGTGCTGTCCTTACCTACGTAACGTTTCTTTTAACTCTCATGTTCTTGTCCCAAAAATTTAATTTTCGATTTCTATATCAACCACCGACTGTTCTAAATCAAAAACATCTTCCTCGCTGTCAGAGTTGTGGCTACTGTTGTCTTCATTGTCGGATTAGTTCTCGCTTGCAGATTCAATTACTACATCATCGTCTTGAGAATCGTCTCATAAAGCTTGAAGCCTCGCCTGCTCCAGTTCATATGATAAGCCATAATCAAGAACAAAAACATAAATAATTAATGTATAAAATTTCACATTTTCATCAAAAATAAATCATTTCAACTGAAATTATATAAAATTGTGAATGCCCAACTTAAACAATACTACCATAAATATAATAACTTACCTGTATGGTGGGGTATATGATACCCCAACGATGTTTGGATCAAAACAGCGATGCGTGCTTTCACTTCTAAAGTAAATTAATAACTGCGAGACCTCCTTCAAGGTTCTAACGAAAGGTACTGAAATGACTGTCGCGCTAATTTACCGGTAAAAATATTGGCGCTAATTTTAAACTCACTGGGGTATTTCATACCCCACCACACTGGCGCCGGGTTATTAAAATCTTCATGAGTAAGCACTTTTAACGGGTTTCCTTTCTTTTTGGCTAATAGTATTAAATAAATTGGTCTGGAACAAAGATGGAGCCCAGACTTTAAGAAGCAAGTAACCTAAAACAATAAAATGATTCAATGAACTACAATACGTATGCAAATAAACAAATAACCATACCTTCTTCTCAATTGTGGAATGAGTAGAATCCCTCTGATTGTGTGTATGGCCAACCACTAACTAGTTGTGGGTAATACATTTGGTTTTGAACTTGCTAACAGCGTACATTAAAGCAACAACGAGAAACCTAGAACAATAATTCTCCCAATTAGAAAACATAATAAATCATAATACAAAAATACAGTTAAACATTATTACCTATTCTTTTGCTGAGCACCACAGTTATCACTGTATAAGACTATCACCTGTAGGAAAAAGAAGCAAAGGCCGACCGCGAATTAGGTGGTTGGAGTAGAAACCCACTTACGAATATTAAAAATCAGAAGATGGCAACATGTTGCCAAAAACCGAACAGAATGGCGACGAATCTTAGAGCAGGCCAAGATCCACAGAGGATTGTCGAGCCAAAGATGATGATGATGAGATAGGAACAACCTTCTGTAGATCCTTTGCCACCCTCGTCCTCATGCCAGACATAACAGTACGGTCTGTTGAAAAGGCGCAGCTAATGGTTGAAAAGCGGATTCATTCAAGAAGAGGAAATGCGTTTTAATTTAAGGGAGGGTGGGCCACTATGAGAGGAAATTCAATGTCTCATTTTTTTGTTAGTGGACAGATTCCTTTCAAATATAGTATTCTAGAAACGTTGACGTTTTCTGTACGTTTTACATTAAAATTGATTATCTGTGACTTATTTCAATTAGTTTTATAAAGCCTTTTAATCATTGCAAGTGTCTCATTGTGGCCCAAGCACTGGCCACAAGGAGACACCTTATGGACTACACTGAGACATGGTAACAAAAACACAAACACGGCGTTTTATAAGCAGTTTATTATACATCTACAAAAAAAACACAGTTATCTACATAGATACTTATCTAGAAGTACTTATTTAGAAGTAAGCTTTCTAAGAAAAATATTCTACTTTACTGTGAATAAATCCAAGTTGACAGAGAATTTGTGGAATGAACGAAGCCTGACTGTGTTACCCAAAGGTGAAGGCTTTGGCAAAATCATTTTGATATCAGAAAATCTCACCGTTAAGGTATCTGAGATGATAGGAAAACAAAAATAGTCTGAATTTTTTAAACTTTTCCTTAAAAAACTTACTTCTAGATCACCATTTGTGTCCTTCGTTGAGATTACTTTGTCTATGTAATAAACATCTTTCAAGTCTTTAGTCTCAAACTTAACAAGGAAAAAATCTTCAACATTTGGGGCTTAAATTTTGAAGGATCAACTTTTTCTTGCTGGTCATTATCAGTGTCTGAAAACTCCTTACTATTGCTGGAAGCAGAAATTTCAAATTCCTCGCTGCTCTCA